CGCCACATTGCTTGGTGCTAGCATATTTAGCTTAGCTCAAGTGTTGGAGAAAAAAATCGAGCAGGTGATTTGTAATTTTCTGGAGCACGTTTTGCCTTACCTTGAATGTTCACATAAATATTTGTCAGATTTATCAACCTTTCTGAATCCGATTTTTTTCTTTGAAAAACTGTAAAAGGCTTTTTCATGTTAAAAGCATATTCCACACTAATACTAGATGTAATTTATGTTGTTACTATTGCAGTTGTTGTGCCTTCACATATGCATTTGTTTCATCATTTTCTTTACTAAGATGAGTTTGAGGATGAATCGCCAACATCAGTCTCTCTTGAACTGAACTGCATGCATTACTTTCTCCGCCTTGTACTTTGAACAATTCCATATATATTGTATTGAAGAAAAATGTGTTAAGGATACTGTGTTTTGTATTGCACAGCTGATGTATGTCCAACCTTTTGATAAGCTATATTTGAATGAAAGCGACATGTGAAACATGAAAGCGTATGTTCCAGCTCTAGCTTGTATGGAGTGAACTGTATAGATAGCAAGTAAATACAGCAGGAGTATGTGGCTGTAACAATTTCTCCATATAAAACTTGTTATAACCAGTTTAATAAGGAGAAAACAAGATAATTTCTCATTATTACTAACATTCAGCAGCTCTCCCATACTTCATCTGAAGAGTTGACGTGCAATGATGTGGTTACAAGACGTTTGCATGTGCACACATATTTCATACACGCCACAGACCACCTGTCTTTCTTATACAGAGGACTGTGAAAAAGTAACAGCTTATTTTCCTCTCTCATTTTATAGTTGTCAGTGATTGTGCCATACCTTTAAATAAATATGTTGTTCTTGAATAACTACGAATTAAGTTCCTAGAAATATTTTGAATCTTGATAAACTATGCAGCTTTCCCTTGATTTATTTTGTTTCATAAAGTTGATAAAGGCTTTTTAATGAAAGGCTTTGCTATTCATGTCAAAGCATCATTCAATATATCTCCTGGTGTACGTAATATCTAAGTGACGAGCTTGGATGTAGCAGGAAGATTCGCAGTCAGGAGGACTTAATGCCTTAACAATCCATCAAAGATGAGAGACGTGGAAAAGATGCAGGATGTCGTCCAGTTTGGCAGTCTGACCTTATAGTTCACTCAACCTGTTGGGTTTTTGGCAGCATGACTCAACTGTACATTTATTTTTCCTTGTACACTCCAGAAAAGCATTTTTTGTTTTATCCAACGAGCCTTTCGGAGGAGAGATTTAGTCAAGACATCTTTGACTAAAAGGAAAAGAGTGTTGGGCCGTTACCATGCCTGCAGGCTATGGACCTCAGACCTGTAAGGTCAGAGGTCTTATTACTTATATTTTTAATAAATAAATGTTAGCTGAATCCATCCATTGTCTAACATGCTTAATTTTGCAAGGTCGCGATGACGATGTGTTCTTAACTCTGGTTGAACAGATAATATCACCGTGGTCTTGTGTGAACTAATACTAAGCCATTGTTTTTGAACAAATGTGTCCAATACTGACAGTTTGTGTAAAAAATGTTTTGTAAAACATTTTTTTTTGTAAAATCATAAGCTGTCTCTCATTCCTCATCCTCTAAATGTGTACCCCCAGCGTGTTCACATCACAGTACAGCGGGCCTTAGCTGGCAAAAGATAAAGACTGCAACATCTTTCCCAACAGTCATAAACCTGGGCAGTGTTGTTGGTGCAGCGGTGCCTCGATGTCGCCATGGAGGCAGTAAAGTGGCGGCCGTGTTGCTGACAGGCCCGTATTTCCCTCAGTTGTGTGGTGAGTTTTGACCCGGCCGCCATAAAGGAGAGTTGGAAGTCAACCTTTGGTCGGCACTGCTGGAGAACACGCCCTGCTTGTACACACAGACACATGAGAGTTTACAAATCTGTACGCATGACAGTGAACGCCACAGCTTAAATCAGTACAGGCAAATATGTGTGTGTTCATCAATGGTAATTAAAGATGCAAAACCTCCTCTGCAGCATTGATGATGCACTGCATGAATTTTAGGTTAGGTAGGTTGCAAAAAACAAAACTAAACTAAATTGTTTTCCATCTTAAAGATTTTCCAGTTTTTGATATCGTCTCACAATCAAATGTTTCAGATCATCCAATGATGACATCAGACAAAAATATGAAAGTATAAAAGTAAAAAATGCAGTGGTTTCCAAGCTTGGAACTCTTCCTTGGATGCCATTATTTGCACAATCACTTATTTATTGTTTAACTATGAACTCTGACCTCAACAGAGGAAGGTGAGACCTGCAGCACCTCATGCGTTCTCCGTTGTTTGGTGACGTCTAGTAATTTTGATAGGCCCGCTGCTCTAGAAGACGTTCACAAACATTTCATCTTTTCTCCCAGAGTGGATAATTTGGCACTTTGATCCACTGAAGCCTCAGAGCCTCAGACTTTGTTTCTCATCAGTTTTTTTTTAAAATGCTGTACAGGCCTGCACAGTGGTGCAGTTGGTGGAGCTGTTGCCTTGCAGCAAGAAGGTTCTGGGTTTGATTCCCGGCCCGGGGTCTTTCTGCATGGAGTTTGCATGTTCTCCCTGTGCATGTGTGGGTTTTCTCTGGGTACTCCGGTTTCCTCTCACAGTCCAAAAACATGACTGTCAGGTTAATTGGCCTCTCCAAATTGCCCTTAGGTGTGAGTGCATGGTTGTGTTGCCCTGCAACAGACTGGCGACCTGTCCAGGGTGTACCTCTTGCCCGGAACGTTAGCTGGAGATTGGCCCCACTAAGGGACAAGGGTGTAAAGAAAATGGATGGATGGAATTTCTGTACAGGAGGGCATGATGTTTTGCTTTTTGAGATTTACTTTTGTTTGCTTCATGTTGTCACACAGTTTATTATGAATTTTCCAGGCATATAGTACCATTTTATAGCACAATCAACTAATTATGTTACATTCAATGGCAGGGTGGTAAAAAAGACAAGGCTAATATACTTTTAAACAAGAAATATAATGGGATCATATCAAAGTGGTTTTCATAGAGAAAGAGTGGTGATGGATCCAATGTTTTGTTTTGAAGATACTATGTTTTGGGAAACCATATTGTGCTGATAATGGGACATTATGGCTATGAGGTAGAAATATTGATTTAGTTATGGAAGGGACTGTAATATGTAATATTTCCAGGCGCATAGTGCCATTTTATAGCACAAACAAGTAACTATGTTAACTCCAATGGTTTTAAAAATGCTACATATATCAAATATGACATAAAAGTAATTTTACTTCCTAATTTATCGGCTTGAAATTGGGCCTCCGTCGCTTTAAAAACTGCTACTCGTTTTGAAACTCCACCGTCAGGAAGTCATCACAACATCTCTCCTTTATCAACCCCTTAACAGCGCTTTTTGCCAGAATTGCACTGAGAAATGGCTCCTATAATGAGCTCAGCAGACACGCAGTCATATCAGGTGTTAGCTAATTGCTGCTGGCTAGTCTGAAGGAGCAGAGTGGGAGAGTCAAGAGGGAGGGCTGCCCTGTGAGGTGAAAGCAAGGTCGCTTGGAAACTACAGCGCTGAGGGGGAGCTGCACATAGAAAAGAGGAGGAGATGCACTTTGGTCCCTTCAGCTGTTCTTCACACCAGAATGAGAAATCTTTTAATCTCCTGTGGCAGCCAAACATGCATGAATGAATGAGGGCAACACTCCAGGCATGGGTTTGTTGAGGGAATAACATTAAAACATGGCATAAAAGAAAAGTAGAGTAGTACTCAGAAAAGTATATTTTACAAAATACTGCCCCTTTAAGTAGCTCAAAGTGAGGATTGATAAAGTGAAAAATGGAGGGGGGTAGAATGTGACTTTGCATCTTCAGCTGAGAAAACAAAGACTGTTTTTTCCAAATAAAAATAGGGGAAAATGAAAAGGTCCAGATGATGAGCTCAGTGGCCTTCATTGAAAAGTGAAACAACGTTGACATGTAGTCACCAGTTGATACCTAAATATAACTGAAAGGTTGCTGGGATTGATCAAATGGGCCAAATACCCTTAACTTTCATTGTCTAGGTTTAGGTTAAATACATATTAGTTTATTATATATTCTTGGCTGTATATAAAAAAAACAACAATGCCAATTTTAAAATCGACATAACAGACAGTTGTTTGCATGGGAGGATTCTTTAAAATGGTAAGTTATGCAGAACGCCACAGCCAGGACTCTGACACAAAAACTTCAGGTTTCCACACAGGACTCCACTGGAGATGCAAATGCACTGAATTTTGATTTATTTCAGATGCTATTGAAATAATCTTTTCACGAATGTCTCGTGTTTCTATGTACTATTTGCCGTTTGGTTGTTGTATCATTTTGTTGTGACTTTTATATCTTGAAGGTGCCATAAAAAGAAAGGTTTACTTATTTAAACCTGTGTATGTGTGGAATGAAAAGAGAAACTGTCTTCAGTATATTAATTATATAAAATTATATAATATGTTTATTAACCTGAACAAGATTTCAAATGTCATCATAAAATAAAATAGCAACAGAAACAGAAACCTCTTCAAAAAATCCACACACATTCTCTTATCAACCAAACACGGATAATTACATTATGATTACAATCATTTCACACTGTTTTTTTTATTTGCCTTAAAAATGTTTTTTTTTAAAGAAAAATTGATTCATTGCACTTTCATCACTGTTGAATCAGTAAAATGGAAAACATTTGGTAGTTGGACGTTTTCATTTGACATTTACAAGACTTTTTTTCCGCCGTTCTGCTGAAGCAAGTCTAAGACAATGTGAGCCTCGTAGCTCAGGCGCAAACAGGCGTTCTGTGAGCAGAACGGTGAGCAGTGGTTTACAACCGGCTGGTTTTAGTGTCCACAATGACTTTTAACTGTCCTTATCTCAACATAAATAATGTGCCTGTAAACGTTAATCATCTACACGCTGGTAATGAGACATGCTCAACAGCCATAAAGAGTTATTTTCAGTCCGTTTTTTTTTTTTTTTTTTTTAGATTCCTCTGAAAAATAACCCACTGGAATTGTTTTTAAAAGCAGAGAGGATGGCGACAAAGCATTACAACAAAATTATTTAACAGCTCTAAAATCAGGTTATTGTATCCTTATATTTTAACATTCCTCTTGAATGTTTTTGCATTGATGTCCTCTGTTTAGTGTAATGTTTCTTCAAAAACATTGTTTTTATTAGGAAATAGGTAGTTGATGTTGGATGTATTGAGGAGATATAGCTTGCTGGACGGACATCAGTCCAAGTTCTTAGGTCTTCTTAAGTTGTTTATAAGTTTTGCTGCAGATTGTATTTTGAAAGTCCTACTACAATCCACTCCTGGTTTGTCATTTACAGCCAGTGTTTCCAATAAAAATCCAAGATTACTTGGTCGTAGGTAGTTTTTTTTTTTTTTTTTTTGCATTCAGCCCGTTTTGATCCATATTAGAACAGTTTCCCCACAGCTTCAAAGTCAGTGGAAGTTGTGTCAGGATGAGGAGGATTGTCCTTTCAGTGATGTTAGAGTTAGCCGGTAAGCTAGTCCTGTTATCTGGGGACGCTCATGCTTGAGACAGAGCGCACCAGGAATTCTGTGGAGCCATCGACGTGGGGGTAAAAGGATAATCCTCGTATTTAATGTCCACATGTCCGGATGCCGTACTGTCTAGCTGAGAGGCGGTCTGCAGAAAGGAAGGAGACAAAAGCTTCATTAGCTAAAAAAAAGCAACTCTTACTCGATATTTAACAAAAATGTCTTAGGAGAGACGTTACGCTACAGCTTGCACACAGCTAAAATATCCTATTTATGTCCTTTACTTTGTATCTGACTAAAACTTTTATGTTAATGTATAATATTTGAATTCAAAAATGATTGCCCCCAGCTGTGCCTTGTGTTCCCTGATCAGTCCCTGTGTATTTAAACCCAGCCCTGTGTGTCTCTTGTTCCCTGCCGGATCCTTGTCGTGGTTACCTCATTTCTTCCTGTGTTGTGCTGTTCCAGTGCTACCAGTGTCTGAGTTCCTTGCCTCATTTGCTCACCTGCGCTGCCTGGACTCCTGCACATCTTTTTGATCATCATTAAAAATAATTTTTTTCATCACAACCTGGCTCCAACCGCATCCATCCTCACCACAAATTGACCCATATTCATGAAACCAATAGAGACTCTGCTGTATTTATTTTTTATTTTTTTTTATTATTATTAAAATAGAGGACCACCACCTTTTTAGGGTTTAGTATTTAAGAATATATTTTTGGAATGGAACTCAGAATTATTCAATGTGCAAATTGTTAAGTTAATCTATTCACTGGTTTTACTATTTTTTTGTGAGAGCATATCTGACACATTTAAAACAAAATGTATCCTTGGAAGTCATAATGCCCAGGTGCAATGCTAGCTTACGCACCATTAGCTGGCAATTTCAAAGCAGCCAATCTAAGAGCGCCGTTCATTTTTCTTGCCGCTGATTGGCTGAAACCTCAGGAGCGTAGATGACAAAGACTGTAGATGTTAGCTTCTGCTGTAGTGGTTTCTACTGTGTGCACTGACGCATAGCAAGGTATATTTGGTGTGTAAACTATTAAGAGTTGCAGTTATAAGCATTTTTAAAAGGGGTAAAAGCAGTTGGGGATTTTAGCTACGGTCCTTAACCCCGACAAATACTGGGGAGGTCAGTGAATATTCCTCAGCCAAATTCTGTAAAGAGTGATAAATGTCTCGTTGCTAAACGTTATCAGTTTTTTATTTTTTTTTCATCATACCAATTCTCTCAGTCAAATGATTTAGTATTGCTTCTATTCTCCATCCTGTATGGAGTGTCAGAAGAATGTGACGGGAGGAAGGGTTACCTGAGAGCCAGATGTGATGGTCTGCCCTGCGTAGGGCGACGGGGCCATGCTGGGTTCACTTTTAATGGTGGAGGCGTGTTCGGAGACTGATAGGGAGGACGGGGAGCTAGTGTCAGAGGTGATGGAGCCTAAAAACAAAACAGGAAAATCATTCACTCTCATTATGTTGTGTCTAATGCTATTTTCTTTTCTGTCCTCAAGACTGCTTATGATTTGACCAATCTGATTCCTGTGCGTGGGGAACCAACCTGTGGACGCTTTAGTCTTCGGTATCTTGGGTTTACGCTTTCTTGTCTGAATGCTTTCTTTCTTCATGGCCAGAGGTCTGGGCACCTGGAGGGAGTACAGCAACACATGAGCTGGGCTTCTCTCCAAAACGCCAACACAACAGGAGCCACAGAGTGTGTTATCTCAACTCACACAAGCCCTTCTCCCACACATCACAGCGACCTCCATGCCCTCTGGGAGACTCTGTCTTTCCCCGACGAAGCGAGTTCATTAAAGGAGTGTTGGTGTTGGTGTGACCTACCCCGTGCAGCTTCATGTAGAGTCCGCAGGCGTTACAGACGGGCTCTCCTTCAGCGTTGCGTCGCCATAACGTGGTGGTGCTGGTGTGGCAGTTGGTGCAACACAGGCCGGCCCGGCGGGACGTGGTCTGCTGCAGCACACACACACACACACACACAAAAAGGCTCAAACACAGGACCGTATGCTTCAGATTCTCCTCTCTAACAATAATTTGTCCCAAAAACATAAATAACTTTCTCTTTTTATTCTAGCACTCAGTTCAAAAAGCTGTGGGGCTGCAAAGAACTTTGTCTAAAAACAGCACACATCAAGGACAAGGTCAGCGGAGGACAAATAAAAACAGGGAGAGAAACGCCCACAGTGGCATCTGCAACCACATCTGCTGTGAAAAGGAGGAGAGTTCCTGGGAATAAAATTAGAGCTGTGGGGCCTTGGCTTGCACCCACAAAAACAGACTGGACATCATTTACAAAACCATGAACATTCCAAGTTTTACTTCATTAGCATTTTATAACCGCTTAATCAACATTTAGCAATCACCAAGTTCATATTAAAATGACATGAGGAGTAAATTATGGGAGGTGTTGTGAAAATACAGCTGGTAAAAATGGCTGAAGCCTATACGGAAAATAATTAGGGGGGAAAAAAGAATTTTGACTTTAAAAAAAAAGAAGAAAAAAAAAACTGGGTGGAAAAAAAAAGAAAATCAGTTTCTGAGATTAAAGTAAGGAATGTTTTCTTCCAGTGCCTGTAAATCATCTTTCATAGATTTCAGCTATTTCATCGTACACATTCTGAAAACGTCAACTGGTAAGAAGCTGCTTTTTGATTAAGATGTTCATAAATGATTTCTCATCGATTAGTTGATTCTTGTTCTTTTCAATTAGTTAATGCACAAATAGAAAACATATTTGGAAGATTTACTGCTAACAAGACAAATTATAATTTATAAGTTATTACGATTTTATCATTTTTAGTGTGTCCTTAAATAGTATTTTGTTTTTCTCTTGAATATATATATATATATATATATATATATATATATATATATATATATATATATATATATATATATATATATATATATATATATATATACACACCTCTTTATATGCACCCCTTCTGAGGTGTTATTCATGTTCAGAAACATCAACAACAACATAATAATTGTATTCACTTCTTGATATTCTTCCCAGTGTAAATTTTTTTAATGACCCCTTTAGGACCGGTTCCTTCTGTCAGTCTTACCAGCCGTTTCTGGGGCTTAATTAGCGGCCTGTTGATGCCGTTCATCTTGTGGTAGAGTCCGCAGGCGTTGCACAGGTAGTGACCGGTGCCGTCTCTGCGCCACAGCGGCGTGGACACGGAGCCGCAGTTCACGCATTCTCTGCCCTCTGTAGGCATGTCGTCCATCAGCTCTGACGGAAGAAAGGAGACATCCGTCAGATAACAAAAGTGCTCCCTGATGCTCATTGGATCAGTTATAAAATCACAATATTCCCATCTAAGTTCGACATTGAAAACAAATAAGATCGTGGACGGTACAGGGTCACCGGTTCCAGGCCAGTACGTGATAAATAACCCGCGGAGGAATGTAACCCCACGTTCTTTCTCCTCCGCTCCGCGTGATGCGGAGATCAAACTGCTCAACCAGTGAGTCGGGAGAGACAGAAGAATGGGGGTGAAGGTGTGTGTGTGGGGGGGAGGGGGGGCGATGGGGGGAAGGTTATCAGGAGGATCCAGGATTCCCCCATCATCCATCACGGCTCTGACAGAGGACGGGCTCCGGCCTCTAGCCGGCCAAATTCCTTCTCCGAGCCGCAGATAGAGCGGGCTTTAAGTCCGGGCTGGGCCGAATCTCTACTCGTCCCTTTAACTGATGGAGTTGGTTCACAGTTAAGTTGTTGAGAGGGAGGCATCATGCGCATGCGCTGAGGATTGAGTATCAACGCATTTCAATTAGCATGGAAAACATAATGACGACTGACTGTTTCGTAATGTATTGGGCCTTAAATAACAGGGCTGTGTGACGGTGACTGGTGCTGCTCAGTGCAGCCGACCCGGTTCGATTCTCAGCCATGGATCGTCTCTGTCTCTTCCCTGTAAGAACACTGAGAACGGAGGCCACAGAAACCTTTTTT